GGTGAGTCTGCTTCATTTTTTCCCCAGCTTTCAGGCATGCTGTTAGGTTGTAGATGTGAGCTTTCTCCATTTTCTTTATGTGAGCACTTAGTGCTGTGAATGTTCCTCTTAGCACTGCTTTCATAATGTCCTATAGTTTTGGATATGCTGTGTCTTCATTTTCATTGAATTCAAGGAAGATTTTAATTTCTTCCTTTAATTCTTCCTTGATGCAGGGGTGGTTCAGTAGTTGATTGTTCAGTTTCCATGAGTTTATAGGCTTTCTGGGAGTAGTATTATTATTGAATTCTAACTTTACTCCATGGTGATTCGATAAGACACAGTGGATTACTCCAATTTTTTTGTATCTGTGGATGTTTGCTTAGTTACCAAGTATGCGATCAATTTTAGAGAACGTTCTATGAGGTGCTGAGAAAAAGGTATATTCTATTTTGTTTGAGTGGAATGTTCTATAGATGTCTGTTAAGTCCATTTGATTCATTACATCTGCTAGTTCTCTTATTCCTCTCTTTCTATCTGTTTGACCTGTCCATTGTTGAGAGAGGAGTGTTGAAATCTCCTACTATTAGTGTGTTGGGTTTGATGTGCAATTTAAGTTTTAGTAATGTTTCTTTTACAAATGTGGGTGCTCTTGTATTAGGGGCATAGATATTCAGGATTGAGACTTTATCTTAATTAATTGTTCCTGTTATATAATGTGTCCTTCTCTATCTCTTCTGATTGATTTTAGTTTGAAATCAATTTTGTTAGGTATTAGGATAGCCACAACCACTTGTTTCTTAGGTCCATTTGATCAGAAAACCTTTTCCCAACTCTTTACTCTGAGGTAGGTCTGTCTTTGGGGTTGAGGTGTGTTTCTTATAAACAGCAGAAGGCTGAATCCTGTTTTTTATCCATTCTCTTTGCCTGTGTCTTTTTATAGGTGAATTGGGACCATCGATATTAAGCAATATTAATGGCCAGTTGTTTTTAATTCCAGTTATCTTTCAGTAGTAGTATTCATGTGTTTCCCTTCTTTGGGTTATGCCAGGGGGGGTGTTATCAGATGTCTATTTTATTTTAGGTGTAGAAGTGGTGAGGAACCCTGGTCTGTGTTCTATCAATTATATTTTAAATAAATGCTGATTGGCCAGTAGCCAGGCAGGAAGTATACATGGGACAACCAGACAGGAAGTAGAGGTGGGTCAATGAGAACAGGGAAGAGGATGCAGTCTTGACCCAACCATAGAAGAAGCAAGATATGACTGCCCTATTGAATAAGGTACTGAGCCACAAGGCTAATACAGATAGGAATAATGGGCTATATAAGTTATAGGAGTTAACAAGAAGCCTGAGCTAATGGGCCAATCAGTTTATAACTAATATAGACTTCTGTGTGATTTCTTTGGAACTTAAAGATTGTGGGAACTGGCCAGGACAGAAACCCTGACAACAAATGGATTTTCCTTCTAGTACTTTCTTTTTTATTTTCTTATTATTACAAATTTTCACCTCCTACCATTTCCCTCCCCCTCCTCTCCAGACCAAAGAGCAGTCAGTGTTCCCTGCCCTGTGGGAAGTCCAAGGTCCTTCCCCCTTCTTTCTAGTACTTTCTGTAAGGCTGGATTTGTGGTTATGTATTGTTTAAAACTGTTTTTGTAATTGAATATCTTGTTTTCTCTATCAATGGTGAATGAAAGCTTTTCTGGGTATAGTAGTCTGGGCTTGCATCAATGGTCTTTTAGTGTCTGCAGCACATCTATCCAGGACCTCTGGCTTTCATGATTTCCATTGAGAATTCATGTGTAATTCTAATAGGTTTACCTTTATATGTTACTTGACATTTTTTGCAGCTCTTAATATTCTTTCTTTTTTCTGTATGTTTTGTGATTTGATTATTATATAGCAAGGGGATTTTTTTTATTGAGTCTATTTGGTGTTCTGTAAGCTTCTTGTACTTTCCTAGGGTTATCTTTCTTCAGGTTGGGAAAGTTTTCTTCTATAATTTTGTTGAATATATTTTCTGACCTTTTGAGCTGAAGTTCTTCTCATCTTCTACCCCTGTTGTTCTTAGGTTTGGTCTTTTCATGGTGTCCCAAATTTCCTGAATGTTTTGTGTTAAAATTTGTTGGATTTAGTGTTTTCTTTGACCAATAAGTCTATTTCTTTAGTAATGTCTTTAGCACCTCAGATTCTTTCTTCTATCTCTTGTATTCTGTTGGTTGTACTTATCTTTGTAGTTTCTGTTCATTTACCCAGATTTTCAAATTCAGGATTTTATTTATTTTTGACTATGTTTTTTCATTGCTTGAAAATGTCATATATGTGTATAATCTGTTTTGATCAAATTTTCCTTCCATGTAATCCCTTCCCTATCCCTTCCCCCTTTTCCTTTCAACTTTTTGTACCCAAAAAAAACCCACAGAGTACACTTTGAGCATCCTGTGTGTTTATACGTATGAGATTATCTACTGGAGCATGGGTATTCTCTCAGGAACGACATTGATGAAGAAAGCATTTTTTTCTTGCAGCAACCATCAGTTGCCTATAGCTCCTCAGCTAGGAGTGGAGCTTCATGAGCCTCTCCTCATTCATGCTGGAAATTTGGCTGGCTTCATCTGCTGTAGGCTTTGTTCAGGCAATTGCAACTGCTTTGTGTTCATGTGTGCAACAGTCCTGTCATGTCTGACAAATAATTTCACTACCTTTGGCACTTAAGATCTTTCTGTTCTCTGTTCCATAATAATCTTTGAGCCTTTTGGATGAGACTTTGATAAGATGTCCCATTTAGAGTTGAGAACCCCATAGTATCTTATTTCCTGTGGGTTCCTGTATTAATAATCTACTAAAAAATGTCTCTGATTAGGGTTGAAAGATCCATAACCTACAAATAAAGATGTAAGGGGACACTTTTAATATAAATTTATTTTACATCTCAACACAGTTGCCCCTCCCTTTTCTCCTCCCAATCCCTTTTTCCACCCCATTGCCTTTGTTCCCACACCCCTTCCCAATCCACTCCTCCATTTTATGCTTAGGAAAGTGCAGGAATCCCATGAGTATCAATAAAACACACATATCAAGTGGCAGTTAGACTGAACACCTCACCATGTATTAAGACTGGGCAAAGTGACCCAGTATGGGCAGTAGGGTCCCAAAAGCCAGTAAAAGAGTGAAAGACAGTGTTCCCACTGTTAGGAGTTCAAAAAGACCAAGCTACTTAGTTACACAACTGTAACATATATGCCGAGTGCCTAGGTAAGTTTAATCTAGGCTCCCTGGTTGTCGGTATACTCTCTGTGTGTCCCTATGATCTCACATTACTTGACTCTGTGAGTTTTCTTGTGGTGTACTTGACCTCTCTGGTGCCTACAATTCTTTCTACCATTATTCTGTATTTCCTGAGCTCTGCCTAGTGTTTGGTTGTGGGTCTGTATCTGTTTCTATAATTTGCTGGATAAAGCCTCTCTGATATCAATTGGGTTAGGCACCAATCTGGTTACAGGAGATGGCCGTTTCAGGCTACTTATTTGCTTCTGCCAGGAGTCTTAGCTCAGATCATTCTTTCACCCTTGTAGATCCCTGGGAGATTCCTTGCACCAAATTTTTCCCTGGCCCTGTAATGCCACCCACTTTCCAATAGTCTCTTTCAGTACTCTCTCCCTTTGTCCTCCCCACAACCTGATCACTTATGTTCCTAACCCTTTGCTCCCTCAGTCCACATAAAACATCTCTTCTCTTTTGCCTTTCCAGGAAGATCCAGTTATCCCACTTTGCACACTCATTGTTACCTAGTCTCTCTGGGTCTGTGGATTGTAACATAGTTCTCCTTTGTTTTAAAGATTCACTCTTTTGCTATTGAGAATTTAGTTCTTATCATAACATCCTTTAAAAAAAAATCAATGTTCTGAGATATTTACATCCCATTTTCTTGTATATATGGGCTTTCCCAACAGGGTCCCCTGTTTAGATAAATCTTGGTCTGCCATTGGGCTTTCTCTTTTGAAGACGTGAGTGTTAAGTTGGGAGCATAGTTCCCAGTCCCTGGCATATCTCTGGACTCCAAATCCCAGCATGCCAATTCCTGATCCCTCCCTTGATGGGGCTCAGGACCACTCCCACAGGGTATTTAAGTGGCCTCCTAGAGGAGAAACACGTGGTTTTGGTGTCTGCATGGGTTTCCTGCTGTCCTGTCTCTCTGCCATGCACTCGGCCACCTGAGAGCATCATTCTTAGTAAAATGATGGGCATTTTGATTTGGTTTGATTTGATTTAATAGATTTTCTTGTGCTGGTGGAGCTGCTCTATTCTTATCAATGAGGGTGCAGTCCAAAGCAGTTGTGGCCCCTCCATGAGACATGAGAACAATCCTCTACTTGGTACTTCTTGGGGCATATAGGAAGTTAGGCTGACTTGAAGTATTACTGATGGAGATCTGGGTCACTGCTTCCAATCTCACTCTGTCCATACTATGAGTCCTATTAGACACAAATCTCATGGGAAAAGAAAAGTCTATTAAGCTTAAAATATATAATTATAGAGTTGACAATTTTAACTCATCTTACTGTTACTTCTAGACTACCATTGCAAGTCTTCGTTACAACATGAAAGAACAAATAAAGGTGTGCCCTTTCACCTGGTCATTATTTTGCAAGGATTATGCACAATACCCAGGAAGTACTGCCAGCAGTTTTCCTGCAGTGCCCTTCCCCATTGCTCCCAAACCCTCCATTGCACTCACTGAGTTCTTTATTGAATACTTATTAATAGTTCATCAAAAGAGCAAAAAAAAAAAAAAAAATTGGAGTAGCGGTGCAGAAAATACCATTGTACTCAACATTGGGAAACAGGGCAATTTCTGATGGCCTCATTTAGTTGCTAGGGGGAAGCACATGGCTAGATGTAAAATGCATTAATACTGTAAAGTAGCAACTTTTATGAGATAAATCTGACTATTCTCATTGATTGGGAATCACACTGATGAGGTGATGATGTGTTTTCATTCTTGTTACACAATGCAGCCTCAAACTATACAGCTGACTCTGAAGAGGACATTGCAGTATTATGAACATCAAGTTATTGGGTGAGTAGAAATGCATTTTGACTATGGAACGAATTCAAAGTGATTTCTCAAGTGCTGCAGTTGAGCTTGCAAGTTAGTGTGCTCTTAAGGTCAGCCTTATAGTGTCTGGTTTTTAACATATAGTCTGGGACTGACTACATCTTGTAGTGATGTCCTTTGGTTTATTTGTATTTAATTTTTTAAAATGAAAATGAAATTCTTTTCCCCAAAATTCCCTTCTTAATGTTCTTATCTTCCATTTGCAATTCTGAATCTTATAATTTTCCTTTATTAGAAGGGAAGGATTGCTGATACCAAATGGGAGACTTTGAATGGGCTTTTGAATCCTTTCATAGAGTTTGGCTGAAAGCACATTTTAAGGCTAGGTCTTGGTTTTGCCAGGATCATATGCTGCATCTTTTTCTATGTTATTTCCTATTTCTTCAAATAGTTTTGATAATTGTGTGTGTCAAGAGTACCTTACATCAAAAAGTAAGAAATCAAGGCTTCACCAGTACAAGGAAATTTTAATAAGTAATGGTTATATTAAAGGCAAAATCAAAGAGAGATGTCATGGTTAAGTCATATGATTTCAGTGAAAGTATTTTGTAGACAGGAACTCCAAATAAGCCTTAAGTACATTTTTGATTGGCCATTGTAGACAACAGCTTAGCAAATACCAAAAAATTAAATTTACTTTTTTGAGTAATTTACTTTTTCATGTTAAATCAATTAAAATTAGAAGCAATAGATATTGTCACTATACCTTGTTAGAATTCTCTATATACTGGTAATCTTCAAAATATTATCCTTTTATATTATGGTGATCAGGAATAGATTTTGGGACATTAGGATATAATGTTATTAAAAAAACCCAGAAGGATAGAGGAATAGAAAGTGACTTCAATACCTAGCATAATAACATGATCTTTAATCAGTAGGAATTGCTTTGACACTTTGACACATTAATTTTCCAAAGTGCAGTGCTAGAGAAAACATTTAAGTGTATGAGATGACTTTTAATTTGATGTCATTAGAGATTTAAAATATTTATCCTAATGTAGCTAAAGAATGCTAAGTTAATGTTTCCTTGTAACTTCTAAAAGAAAGCTTAAGCACTGTTATTGAGTTTGTGATCTTCAAAGTATGCTATGTGTATCAACTTAGTTCTTATACTTAAAATAACTTGTTAACTGTGGTAAATGTTGTATATCTATTATTGTTATTATTATTACTATATTTTTATTGATGATACCAATCATCAAACTCAGAGATTTGTTTTTGGAATTATGAATGTTTTGGAATCAACTAATTGTTGAAATTCTCTCATTTGTGAACTGAGCTGTCTCAGGGACAAGCTGGAAGCTGGACTCTTGTATTATCATTGAAATAGATAATTAATCTCTTGTGATAGAACAGTTCTTTTTATCTACTTGCCTTAACTATCCTATCTGTCTCTGGTGACATTGCCTGGGGTGCTTCTATTTTTTTTTGTTAGATGACCTTTTCTTAATTCTGTTTATTTTGTCCAACACAATACAAGGATTATGGATAATTTGACTGTAGCAAGGTGTCTTTATGTCAAATCTGATTAAAATAGAACTATCAACATGTTTTATTGCCTATCTTCTAGTACATGGACCACTAATGCCTTTATTTGCCTTGGTGGTTATGGAGACTAGAGAGCTAGTTGGGTATAGTCTTGCCTTTCTGGATTCTACCTTCCCTTCTTCCTATCTCCTTTATCATATTGCTTACTTTTTCAACTTTCTTTTTTGACTTTAAGACTTTCTTTATTTCTCTGTACAAAATTGAAAAAGGAGAAAAGTCAATATCATTAACACTGAGACTAATGTGTTCACACCTATGTGTTGTTGCTCTTCCCAAAACACAGTTTAGGGCCTTTTATCTCTAACTGCGAAGTGATGTGTTTGTTACAGTCAAGGGAATTCCAGGCAAAGGAGAATAAGTACTAGCAAGCATTATTTTCCATATTTTTGGAGAGAGATGACTAAGAAGAAAATTATTTTCCCACATTCTGAAAATTATGCTGTCTACAGTCTTGTATTGAGGCAATTTAACATTTAGATACCATATGTAGAAATGCTAAAGCAAGAGAGATGACAGAGTGTATGTATGGGCTTTTTTTTTAATTTCTCAATATGGACTCAGTGAATGATCTTTCTATTTTCCCTCTTCTTTCCTTAAAACTTTGCCCTTTTATCTGCTTTTTATATCAACATCTGGAGTTGTATACACCCTTCCTTGAATTCTTATACATGTTGCCCATAGAGACTGCTGGAGTTGTTTTCTTTACTCCCAAAACCTAGCATAAGACTCAAGGAGCATCTGTTCAAAAGATCACAAAGAAGATGGAGCTTCTTATTATACAATAAGATAACCTCCCCCCACAGGTGCTTCATGTTTAAATATTTATTCTATGGTCTAATTTATCCATTCTCTTGTTCATATATTTATTCATAGAGATCATTTGTGTTGGGAAAAATGAATAGTAAAATAATTTATTCATGCTATGTGATAAATCTCTTCCTCTACTGTTACCATCATCTCTTACTGAGAGATTTTGATTTGGTTTTCTGACTTCTTTTCAAAGTCTCCTAGACTTGAGTTTTTATCACAGAAACATGATTTAAAAATTATTTGAAGTCAGTGGTTCTTAAACATTACTCTGCATTAGAATTACCTTGTAAGTATATATGTGTTGAAATAGGAGCGGCAGGGCTGCGTCCCCAACACCCCGGCTGCTTGGCTAGCTCATGCCCGAAATAACAACACACAAACTGTGTTCATTTAAGAACTGCTTGGCCCCTGAACTCTAGCCCTTAAAGGCTAATTCTCGCACCTGGACTAGCCCATTTCTAATGATGTGTGTAAGCACCCCAAGGTGCGCTTACCGGGAAGATTCTAGCCTAAGTCCATCGTGGGTTGCAGCTGCCTGGGAGAGCAGAGCATGGCGGCTGTCCGGTCCCTCTGGAAGCAGCGCAGAGTCTGACCTCACTTCCTCTTCCGCCCAGCATTCTAT